ACCGTTGCCCCAAGCTTGGTGTTTTGCGTTCAGATCGCCAGCGATGATAAAGTTCCCGCTCTTCCGGGTGAGTTTGATTATGTCTTTCTGGAGGGCCACTGACGAGCCGTCCCTGATGTTGGTTTGCTTGGGGCAGTAGGCCGCGATGATGGTGATTGGGCCAAGTTTTCAGCTGGAAGTTTTGTAGCAGCCGGCAACTGATGTTCCGTCTTGCAGCGATGGCCACTCCTCCACCTCCAGATCGCGATCAAGTCTGACGATCCGAAAGTCGGGAAGGAATATGTTCAGTTCGGGCTTCAAATGCGTCTCGGTGATGATTGCAATGTCGACCTCCTTGGTGTTGAGGAAATCGAGTAGCTCTCTATGCTTGTTCGTCAGTGAGCAAGCGTTCCAATTTGCAATTTTTATAGCTTCACGGTCCATACTTGGTGACGAGTGACAAGGCAGCATGAAGCTGTTCAGATCGAGTCTTGCAGGTACGCATGATGATGATGACCTCAGCCACGAGCGTCACAAGTTCCTCCGAGGTGAACGGAGAATCGTCGACAGATTCACCTGAGACAGCACCAGCGTCGGTGGATGAACCTGGAATTGGCTGGACCGCAGCAGCAGCGAGACGATGCTGATCTGTCTGACTGTAGGGAACCATTTGAGAGGAAGCGGGGCTAGGTTCGGAACATGTCGACGGGGCTGGAGAGCTGGGTACTGGACTTCCGTTAGTACAGGAGGCGAACGATGATTACGAAGGCGACCAAGCTGGTTGTTGATTGTGGCCTTCCGACGCATATTAATGAACTGCACTCGCTTGGGACATCCGCAATTGGAGGCTTGGTGGTTTCCACCGCAGTTGACACACGTTGGCTCGATGTCATCGACTTGCTCACAGGACGCAGTTGAGTGAGTTCCAGCACACTTGCCGCAGTTTGTCTTCATGTGGCAGTTTCTGGTGCCATGGCCATATGAGAGGCAGTTCATACACTGCGTTACATCACGATGTTGGGGTTTGTAATGCTCCCAACTGATGATGACCTGAAACAGGTCCCGGATTTTGGATCTCAGAGCCGCAAGACTGGTGGATCCCTTCGTGAAATGCACCAGGAACAACTGATCACGCAAGCTGGTGTTTTGGTTGGGACGCCGGTTCATCTGGAACACGGTCTCAGGTTGGAGCCCAAGCCACTCCAGCTCGGACTTCACCGCAGCAGCCTCGAACGACGGTAATCCACGCAAAACCACCTTCAGTGGCTTGCTCGATGGCAGATCATGCGTGAAGAAGTCCACGTTGTTGTTCTTCAGGAAGCTTCCTATTTGTTTGTACTCCTCCAGGCTGGAGCACATGATTTTTGTACCGATGCTGCAAAGCTTGAAGCGAGGCAGCAGCTTGTGTTTTGCCAGTTCGGCACCCAGCTTGGCAACATCCTTCACCGTGGTGAAAAGCGGGGGAATCCGCTCTCGTCTTGCAATGGGAACGGCGTCAGCATTGCCATTTTCTTCCGGGAGTAATGCATACTGGTTGGCTTGCAGTACTCGTTTTCCGGCGTCATCCTGCGACGCGCTGGGCTTGATTACCACCTTCTTTGAAGGGCCCGCTGCTGGCTCATTGGCACGTTTACGCACCATTTGTTTCGTGTTTGCAAGTTCAATTAAACTTGCCAGAACGCGAGAAGGTGGCGACACTTCCACGGCGCAACGCGACAGCACAAAACGAAACAAAATCGAATCGAGAACTCGAGCGAAAATACGGACTGAACAGCTCGACAGTCGAGCAAACATTTTTTTTACTGGTACAGAGACAATAACGTTGTTGAGATTCATCCGGTGGAAAGATTTTGGGCCATAATGAAGGCCAAAGTTCGAAAATCGTCAAAGGTATTTAGGAACGAGCTGGAGTTGAAGAAAGAATGGATGAAAGTGACCAAAAAGGTCGGCTCCACCATTGCACAAAATGTAATGAGGGGTCTTAAGGGAAAGGTGCGGGTTTTCAGTAAGTAATTATTTGTGCCAAAACTTAATCCATATGTATTAGTTCATTCCCTGAAAGTTTCAAGAAAATCCGACTTAAAATAAATTTTTGGCGAACACTTTTGTCTGGTGCATTTTTTTTTTTGAGTACAGACCTTATTAACAGTCTTTCCCAGTTTCAATTGCATATTCACGTCGCTCTTTTAATGCTTGTATATGAAGAGCTTTGAGTGGGTTGGTTTATTTCCTTTAAATTCCGTTATAATTGCTTATCTTTTGACAGATACGCGAACTTCGTCTACTACTTGCAGACTTCATCAGTGCCAAGTACTCAGCAGCACTGGCAAGTACTTGGCACTAATGAAGTCTGCAAATAGTAGACGAAATACGCGTATCTGTCAAAAGATAAGCAATTATAACGGAATTTAAAGCAAATAAACCAACCCACTCAAAGCTCTTAATAAAGGGATTCCGTTAAGAGGTTCGACAAATTTAAAGGAATGTGTCTTTGTGCGTGATTGAAAATAATACAATGCTGCAATATCCCAGTATTGACCTCACATAGGCAATATATAGTGTTTTAATTGTGTATGGGTCCTGAAAGTTATAGCAAAAGCGCTTGATAAAGCCTAGCATGTTATTGCCCTGTGAATTATTGTATTGTAATGGTCTATGAAAGTTAGTTTGGAGTTTAAGATAATCCCTAACTCTTTCGCATTTTTGTACATTCTGATTTCCTAATGCAAGAGAATTGTTCGATGGTGTTCTTTTTCTGCTAAATGATATTGAGTTGCATTTTTTACATTCAGTTCTAATAGGGTTTTTTTTACACCATGTGTAGAATATGTGTATTTCACTCTGGAATATATCATCATTTCTTATTTTCAAAAAGAGCTTCATGTAGTCGGCATAGTTTAGACATTTTATTTTTTGAGAATGCAGGAAATGTCGTTTACATACAAAATAAAAAGAAGAGGTCCCAAATGAGAGCCTTGGGGGACTCCTGAGGTGACTTGAATTGGGGTCAATTTCTTTCCATTGAATTTAATTATTTGTTAGCGGTTAGTTAAATATGATTCAAGCCATTTCAGAAGTCTTGACTCAATTCTATTTTTTTTTTTCAAATTGAAGAGCAGCATTGGTATGTCAATTCGGTCAAATGCCTTGTTTAAGTCCGTATAGAGGGCTTCTCCGTGGTTTCCATTATCCATTGCACTTAATGTATAGTCTATACATTCAAGTGAATTTTTCGAGTTCGAACGTCCTTTAAAGAAGCCGTGTTGCATGCCAGTGATTCTATTTTTGGTTTGAAGCAATAATTTTTCATTTACAATTGCTTGGAATGCAAGAGATAACGGGTATTCCACGATAATTACGTAAGACAGCTTTCCGGCCAGATTTTAAAATAGGTGCTAAAAATGAGCTTTTCCATATTTTTGGGAAGGTTCCGTGACAAATTAAAAAGCCAAAACAATGGAGCAGTGAGTTCCATTGCTAGACTTTTTAAAAATACAGGAGAAATTCCGTCAGGTCCAGGACATTTTAGGCGTCTAAATTCTTTAAAACCTGCAAAATATCCTGCACTTGAAGTTGATTCACGCCAATGTCCCTTGAAAATTCTGGATAAAATGCAAAATAATCGTGGTCGCGATGTTCTTCGGAAAATGTCGTATAGATTTCTTGAAAAAAATTGTAAGAAGATAACATTTTTTTCCGAACTATCTCCGACACGCTCGTCAAGATACATTATTGATGGAAAATTGTCCGATTTTAATTTGATTTTTACGTAATTGAAGAAGTTCTTTGGACAGGATTTTATTTCAAGTTCAGTTTTTGAATTAAATTCTTCAATTGTATTACTGATGGCTTAATCCAATTGATCGCATATGTCCAAATGTAATGTTTATGTGGTATCTGTTTTCGATTTTTAAAGTTTTTTATTTGTCTATTTTACAAGGGCAATGACTAGGGTGAGAGATAATCACGCTTACCACTTCACCACCGGCGCCGCTAAAACTATTGTTTGCACCCTAGTTGAACTATATTATGTCTCAAAGATTTTTTTTAGATCTAAATAATTCATAAATGTGGACACTATCTTTACCAGACGTTGCTTAGACTGACATTTGAATTCTAGACAACGTAAACACATATATCGCCGACTCCAAAGGGTCTGTGTTGAATCCCAGTCAGTGCCGTCGAAATTTTCTGAGGAATCAAATCTCTGATCACGCTTTTAATGGATGAGGAAAATTTAGGTATGTCCTCATCCTTCAAAGTATGAGTTAGGTAAAGCAGTGCTCATTTGATTATTATTGTCGCATTATTGGCCCTTCGCTCAATTTTAACTTCTGTTCAATATTCGCACTGCCTTATCTAGCTAATCAATTATCGCAGTAAAGCAGGTAGTAAAGGTAATGGAATTAAATGGACATTACTAATCCTTCTCTCTTTCATTATGAACTAATTACTGCCATAGAGGTAACTCTAAGACTAGAAGGTCTTGAAAAAACGAGCTCAACTTTTTGGCTCAGCTCTGGTACTCTCTTCGGTCCCAAGCTAATCGATGCACCCCTCGAAACATAGGAAAATCCAATAACCCCTCATTTTATCTGTCAAAATTTAATAGCGAATCAAAACAAACATTGTGTAGTACTTGAATTTCGACTAGAATGGGGTACGTTAATCGATTTGCTTGGGACCAATAGGCTAGTCAAGTAGTGAGCCAATTTAAAATCGTTTGTTTCGTATTGATTGTTGGTACTACCCAGCAACACCATCATAGGTTGCGATCAACTGTCAGTTTGAATCCACGTTGGACCGTGTTTCGTTAAGTTAGTCCACTTTGTACCAGTTACCGTCGGGTGACGCTCGATTTATACATCTGTGAAAATTATATGACAGCCGGTCGTACAACCAACATTGATGTAAGCGTATGTTTGTCCTCTTTGTCAAACTTTGACAATCAGAAAACTATGTCCAGAATATTACCCACACAAACAGATGAACCAACGCATTCGTTTCTGTGTGCACACTGAATGCACGCGAAAAACCATCCTCAAGCTCGTTTTCAGTCTATTCTCAGTCCGGTTTGGTGTACTTTTGCCGTGTAGAAAATGTGTATTTTGTGTATCGAAAGTGTTTAGATTCGGTGCAAGGTGCTCAAAATCAGCATTGGCACGTGGACGATCATTTGAAGGTAATGGATTTTGGTTTTATTTTTACTCTGTTTAGCCTTTAGTACCGGCGAAGAAAGGATGCGATTACCAATCCTGGTGATGGCCGATCGAATGTGCATTCGACGTCATGAAGCTTGATTTTCCTATATGAATATCTCTGTGTTGCCTCCAAGTGTGTGCACCGTAGTGCTAGACGGGATTGATATATGATTCTTATAGGTTTCTGTTCGGCGTGGTGTTGATTTTATAGATCTTGTAAGCAACAAACGCAGATTTCTACTACGGACTGTCGAGGAAATAAGTATCAGCAAAAGTGGCATTCAAATGAGTTGTGCAATTACCTAGTGCGCACCTGAAGGTCGACTGATAAGATTTGTTTGGTTCGAAAGTAAATACATTCGGATTTGCAGTGGAATCGTTCATTGCGTTGCACCACACAACTGCTGCAAATAGTGTACCTACGAGTGTGACGTCGCCATGTTGGTTTTGCATGTTGAAACAAATAAGTTTCCTTAGCTGGTACGCAATAATATCGATGGGATAGGGTGACAAGGGGATGACTGGTTTGGCTCGGAGTGCGAGGAGAGGTAGATTTTCGTGAATTGTTAGATCGAACCGAGATCAATATTTTTGTGTCAGACGTTGGAAGACTTAAATGAACTAAGATATTTTGCTCTATTTGGAGGAGTTTGCTGTTTAGTTAGCTCGCTATTGACAACATTATTTTCAGCTGCATCGTTTTAGAACTTGGATGTGAGCCAGTGTAATGCAATCCAAGACGAGTCTTGTAAATGTCATTTTGATTGTTAGAACTTTTAGGTCTTTTCATCAGTCAATGACTTATTTGATCAATATATTCCATCTAAAAATTACTTAGTGGACCCATCCAACAGTTTTTTCATTGTGCTTCACTTTTCGATCCGATATTCTCTTCAAATTAATCGTTTAGTCTTTGTACCTACCGTTCAATAAAAAAATGTATAAAATCAAGATTGCTTAAATGCTTTTAAAAGTTTGGATTCGCAATTTTAACATTCTAAGGTCCATATACAATTTGTTAACAAAAAAAATCTGAATTTAGTGTGCCCTTTAAGCTTGAGCTTGAGCTTGATTGACCGCCCACGGTTGCTACTCTGTTACTGCCAGATCAGCTGTAATTACACAGAGAACCAATAGACGATGCTTGGGACTAGCAATCATCCTCAATGTGTAAAAACTGGTGATCTTAAATTAGGCAATACCAGCGCCGGCCGCGCCCGAACACAGGTCAAGAAAGGAATGGGAAGGATTGTGTTGACATGACACTCGCTTTGATGGAAGCCGAGAACACCTCTGCACTTCCACGAGGAATCACTGGGATGTTGGATAAGAGGGTTGGGTTTGCAGCAGGGTTCGTTTTGGTAAACGATAAGCTGTGTGATGTCCTAACGATCATATAACGCGAAGGAGCCTGGGACTAAACCCACTGTCTTCTGCTCAGTAAGCAAAAACGTTTGCCACTAGGCAGACGAGCACCCTTTCAATCACCGAGTTGCTGTTATTACCATGTAGTCATATTAACAAATAAAACGATTGACGAATCTTGAATGTGGATGGGCCTGAGATTAGACTCATGATGTTCTGCTCAGTAAGCAAAAACGGTTGCTCTAAGGCCACCGAGCCCCTCATATCACATAATACCGTTGCTCAAACCCGGAACCAACGACAACAACGAGTTTCGCAAAATACACGATACACAAGCGATTTTACCATAAATCTCTTTGATATGTAAGGACCTGGGACCGCGTTTTTCTGCTCAGTAAGCAGGCCACTGTAACCGACGATCTTTCAAATCCGAAAACTAATAACTACGAAAAAGTACTTAGGCTTTCATTAAGTTCCACTTTCACGCGACGTTCAATGACAGGGTCCTATCCAGGATTACATCTGAAAAATCCAAATCTGGCCAACGCCCACCTAAACCTGTTCTAATCCACCTGAAATGACTAACGAATGGAAGACTTTGACTACCCAGCCAGGCAATAGTCTCATTCCGTGCCGTAAGGCAACTTGATTATTCTATTGCGCTCATCTTTTGGCACCACCCAGGGGAGACTTGGTCCTGTACCCAATGCTTAACTTATCTCCATTCCACTCAGCTACTCGCAATTTCTTGTGGTATAGTGGGCGGAATATTATTATATGAGACAATTCAATGCAGACGTCTTTCCAAATTTGGCAGATCGACAGGTAATCGGTGAGTTACCACGATAGTTGCTATTCAACAACTCGACAACGTCCCATCGTCAACGCCTGCTATGAGAATTTCCCATTGCAGACGCCAACGAAATGACGTCATCGAGCTATCGATCAACTACCCTGGTTATCGCCTGGTACCTTATAGCACGATGCTAGGAGGCGAACCGGAAGAATCTATGAGCTACCTCTCCCCCCTGAATTTAGTGTGCCCTTTAATGGGGAAATACAAGTAACACGTCAAAAACTTGACGATTTTCGGTTTTTTTTTTGTGAGCAAATGAAACAACGCAAACATTTGGGGATTTTTGCATTAAATTGCTTAAATCTTCATTGGTGTGTGACCTCTGTGGCTCCTTGGGGTCACATCGGAAGGAGGTCGCCTCCGGTGGGGATTGGTAATTGGCGGGCGTTCTAGAGACCTGAAAAATGGACAAAACTTACTTTTATCAATTGGACCTTACTCAGAAAAGATTTTTGTTTTATGTGAACAAAACAAAAACGATGTAAAAATTTAGAAAAAAAATATCTGAAAAAAAAAAGTTGATTTTTCACTGTTTTTTTTTTCACTTTAGACAGACCTGAAAATTATTTTTGTTAATTTTTTCACGATATCAGTGGTTCACATAGAGTAAAAATCTATTGCCAGGTTTCAAGTCATTTGGATGAGAACTTTTTGAGTTATCTTTCCCGCCAATTTGGAAAACAGCTCATTGCTCTATTCATACTGCATGGGACATCCCGTATCCAACATGTGTGATGTAGAACAGAGACGAGTTGTGTTTGTTCACATCGACCGATACTGAGTGGTTGCGGTACAAGCACATATCGTCGGTAATAGACGATTGTTGTGTATTGAGAACGCTTGCGCAAAAAGACTAAGGGAGGGAAACGGATTCGAAACTCATATGTCATTAGCCAAATACATCCGTAGACCATAGGTCCACCGTTGTATAATTGGCAATGCACCCGTGTACTGAATGGGAATTGTGGGTTCGAATCTCACCGGTGCCCTTAGATTTTTTCGCAAATTTTCTCACACGCACGTCTCTTGCCGATGATATGTGCTAACCTCTCAGTATCTTCTAACTGTCGCATATAACAAATAAAAATTGACTTCCAGTCGCTAACCCAAATCGAAAATTATAGTTTTCCTCTTAAGTTAAAATATATTGGGAACGTTCGACGTTGTAAAATTTCAGAATTGTTTGTTAGTCCGCTATTTCAAAAACGTCAAATGTTCCAAAATCTCGTCTGAGGTCTTGTAAAATTATGTTCAAGGATTTTATGTTATGTTATTAGTAGAGATAGTCGGGTATGGAAATGTCAATACTCGAACCCGAACCGTACCCGACTCATTAAATTTTCAAAAACCCGTACCCGACCCGAACCCGATTTGAAAATACACAGCATTACCCGTACCCGACCCGAACCCGATAAATCCCAATAAACCCGATAAACTATTTTACCCGTACCCGACCCAAACCCGATCGATTAAATTTTCTAAAACCCGTTCCCGACCCGAACCCGACAAATCATAAATCTCAATACACGTCCGTACCCGACACGAACCCGATCCAAAATATCCAGCTAAAACTGAAATTTTCTAAATGCTTTTCAAAAATTAAAACTATTTAACAACATATTTATTTTCGATTAATCTTTCGTATTCAGTATTTTACAACGAAATGGTAGCAAATCACCCGATTATCCAGAAGCAATCACTTGATTTACGCGTACTAATTCCTTCCGGGGTATATTCCCTGTCTTCACGAGGCCTGTAATTTTTGGCTGCACATATGTGCTTTCTTCTTGTCGCTTCCGGAAGTGAGAATCGATCCCAAGTAACATTGCAAGTTTTATGGAGGTTTAAAAGCATGCTACAAGTCTAAATCATGGTCTACAGAACCCTTATAAAACCGAAATTGTTACTTGGGATGTGATGTTTTAATGACTTAGTGCCCGTCTTTTGACTATTCCACACAAGAATAGCACCACAGATTTTGCCCCAAACAAAATCGACAGCTTTGCCATCCACTTCCAAAACTTTGAACACTTGCCAAACATCAGATTTGCGGTTAACTTTATCGATGTAGCCAATTCGGGAATCCTTTGCACTCACCAATGATTCCACTGCGGGTTTCGTTATTATGGCTTTGGAGGAAACCTTCGATGATCCGGATAAATACGCTTCCATATCTTCAGATTCTGAAAAAAAATCAGGTTTTGATTTTTAGAATCAATATTTTTTCGACTGGTTAAGATGCAAATAATATTACCCGAACCTGACCCGTACCCTGCTTGTTCGTTTGTTTTGTTACCCGTACCCGACCCGAAACCAAAAATTTATTTTTTTGAATACCCGAAAATTTTTGAATATTTTCAAAGGTTTTATGATAATTTTTAAGCCACATTTTGGTCACTTTTTTAAATGATTTTTGTCACTTTTCAATAACTAATTCACAATGATTATTGTTTACCATTGCTATCAGCTATGCGATTCAATCTGTAATTAAAATAATTTGAAAAGCCTTTAGATTTAATAGGATTTAATTTGTGATACAGTATGATGTAAATGTGGATCATGACATGTAATTTGAAATTTGCATTCTATACGATTTAACTTTAACATAATGCGATGTATGTCGTTCTTAAATGCGATCTTGACTTAAACTGTTACTATTTACGGTACTGTATCAGGGCTGGTAGTAGGTCACTTTTTAGTGACTTGGTCACTATTTTGAAGCCAGTCACTAAAAAGTCACTTTTTACACCAAAAAGTCAC